CTGAAGTGGGATTCGAACCCACAAGCCCGTTACGGGCGGGAGATTTTAAGTCTCCTGTGTATACCATTCCACCATTCAGGCATAAAAGAGTGGGAGAACACTCTTTAATTAAATGAAAACTTTTAGCAGTACTTTTATTCACAATCACAACAACACATAGAGGAGACTATGCTGGTGCGCCGTGCAGGATTCGAACCTGCGACCAATAGCTTAGAAGGCTACTGCTCTATCCACTGAGCTAACAGCGCATTTATCATTTTAATCAATTACTTAGTGCTTCGTTTCAATGTGTTTATAATACCTAAAACCTTTATGAAGTACAACTCTTTTTTCAATATTTTGTTTATTTATTTTTTCTGTTTTTACTTAATCTAAACGAATTGATGGATTAAGGAAAGGCGGATTACAGACGCTTCCTGATACTTCTTTATTTCCCGGATCACGAGCTGTAAAGCTTGTTACTCTTTCGTGTTTAGCACATTTAAAGATATTTCCAGATGAAACTTTAACTTGTGTATAACCTTTATCTTCTAGAAAAGATTTAGCTGTATCTTGCCCTGAAAAACAGTGGAAATAAATCGAGCCACTGAATATTGCAGCACCAATTATAAACAGCGGAATGTTTCCCGATTTTGTTTTACGTTGAGCCATTTCAAACCCCTTTTTACATTTATTTATTTTGGTGCCTCAGACCAGACTCGAACTGGTACAACCTAACGGTCGAGAGATTTTAAGTCTCTTGTGTCTACCTATTTCACCACTGAGGCATTTAAGAACATTGCGAGTGTTCTTAAACTACAACCCGTAAAACTAAGCGCAGAGGATCGAAGTCTGCTGGTGGCCCCTGTTGGATTTGAACCAACGACCAATCGATTATGAGTCGACTGCTCTAACCACTGAGCTAAGGGGCCGGATTTAGAGAATGCGCCAACATTCTCTATTAGTCTCTTCCTAATGTCACCCTGTCTCGCTCACTATACAGGTCAATAGCACAAAGGAGGTACATCGAGCTTATTAATTATTTCAAATTAGATATAATGAACATATTACTACTTCATTAATGCTACCTAATCCCGATTAATCACGGTTATGAACAAATGTCTACACAATAAACCACGAACAGCACTACACACAACAAACTACACAAAACAAGCGTAGGGGTTGGCACGTTGTATAGGATTCGAACCTATGACCTACCGCTTAGAAGGCGGTTGCTCTATCCAACTGAGCTAACGATGCAATTATAATGCTATAAACAAAGGGATTTAATCAGTTACTCTGCATTCCTGAACTGCTTCATATTTCCCAACCTGAAAGCAAGTTTGTTTATATCTGGTAGTCCCTGCTGGACTTGAACCAGCGACCTATCGATTATGAGTCGAGTGCTCTGACCAACTGAGCTAAGGAACCATTTTAAATTCTTTTCTTTTTTAAAGAGCTACAACTTACTTTGTTGTCTTCATGTAATACATATTATCTGTTTTTTTCTCACTGTCAAAT